GAACTTGTCCTTGGCTGTGACTGCAGTGTAGAAGATGGTGAATGAGGAGGTGAGGATGGACTGAATGATGGCTGTGTATAAGTGCACGATCCTTGTCTTTGGCAGGTTGAACTTCTTCAGCTGCCTCAGGAAGTACATCCTCTGCTGAGCCTTCTTGATGATGGAGCTGATGTTCAGCTACCACTTGAGGTCCTGGGTTATGGTGGAGCCCAGGAAGCGCAAGGACTTCACAGTGGCAACCAGGGAATCGCACAGGGTGATAGGGGCATGTGGGGCTGCGGTCTTTCAGAAAGCCACAACCATCTCCACTGTCTGTAGAGCGTTGAGTTGTTTAGTCCGCACTAGGTCACCAGAGGGTCGTTCTCCCACTCTCGATGAGTCCAATGAGGGTGGTGTCATCCAGGGACTTCAGGAGCTTGACTGACTGTGACTGGAGGTGCAACTGTTAGTGTACAAGGAGAAGAGGAGAGGGGAAAGAAATCAGCCTTTTGGGGAACTGGTGCTGATGCCCAAGAGTCTGAAATGGGTTTCCCCAGCTTCACATGCTTCGTCAGTCAGACAGGAAGTCTGTGATCCACTTGCAGGTGGAGTCGGGCATGTACAGCTGGGAGAGCTGGTCCTGTAGCAGAGACAGTATGATGGTGTTGAAGGCAGAGCTGAAATCCACAAAAAGGATCCTGGTGTAGGTTCTTGAGGAGTCCACATGCTGGAGAATGAAGTGAAGGGTGTTGACTGCGACCTTTTGGCTCTGTAGATTCCTCCGACTTTCGATTTGCCGGAGAGCTCCGGGTCACGACCCTCTCTGAACAGCTGGAAGCCTGCGAGCCGGAGCGCAGAGTCTGGTATCATTCCACAGAGCCAAGTCTCCGTGAAGCACAAAACGGAGTATGAAAAAGTTTTCCCGACCAGTAGCTGAAGTTCGTCCAGTTTGATGCATGGTGGAAATAAATATGTAGATTCAGCTTGGGGCCAAAACGATTTGGCCCAAAGCTGCGAATTCTTGTCAGAAGTCTCTACAGGCGAGCACGAGCGCCAGCGCAAGCACTACTACTCCAAGACCCATTTGAGAGGAGAACTTTGGTGGAGATTCTGCAGGCCAAAGAGCTGATCCCAGATCAGCCTGACCTCACAATCAGACAGCAGACTAGCAGGAAAGGGAAGCAGTACATGCGATGCTTCTCTAGTAGCTGTACACCAGACAGGTTTGGCTAGCTGCATGACGTCACGCTAATAACTTATTTAGCTTTTTAAAACAACGGGGACAGATCCAGCACGGACAGTTAGGGAGTGAGGGATGAGGAGGTAAACATGAGAACACCAGGGCACACATGAGAACTCTGTCAAGCTACATATTAGGCAAAGTGAACATCTTTTCTTCTACATAGTTGTCCTCAGTCTCATCTGCTTAACTTGGTCATGGAGGCAAACATTTAATTGAGATGGTAAATTAACAGTGAAAACTCATCATAGCTAATTTAACATCAGTATTCATAATTACACTTCATGTTTACTTCTACTGATCTTTACCTCCTATAACAAGGTCTATAGGGGCATCTCAATACATACACATGTTATATTATATTTTATAGATATATACTGTGTATATATCTAAATATCTACGTATGTATGCATGTGTTTTATATTATACTGAATATTTTTATATGATATATATACAGTGGGTACGGAAAGTATTCAGACCCCTTTAAATTTTTCACTCTGTTTCATTGCAGCCATTTGCTAAAATCAAAAAAGTTAATTTTATTTCTCATTAATGTACACTCAGCACCCCATTTTGACAGAAAAAAACAGAAATGTAGAAATTTTTGCAAATTTATTAAAAAAGAAAAACTGAAATATCACATGGTCATAAGTTTTCAGACCCTTTGCTCAGTATTGAGTAGAAGCACCCTTTTGAGCTAGTACAGCCATGAGTCTTCTTGGGAATGATGCAACAAGTTTTTCACACCTGGATTTGGGGATCCTCTGCCATTCTTCCTTGCAGATCCTCTCCAGTTCCGTCAGGTTGGATGGTGAACGTTGGTGGACAGCCATTTTCAGGTCTCTCCAGAGATGCTCAATTGGGTTTAGGTCAGGGCTCTGGCTGGGTCAGTCAAGAATGGTCACAGAGTTGTTGTTCCGAAGCCACTCCTTTGTTATTTTAGCTGTGTGCTTAGGGTCATTGCCTTGTTGGAAGGTGAACCTTCGGCCCAGTCTGAGGTCCAGAGCACTCTGGAAGAGGTTTTCTTCCAGGATATCTCTGTACTTGGCCACATTCATCTTTCCTTCAATTGCAACCAGTCGTCCTGTCCCTGCAGCTGAAAAACACCCCCATAGCATGATGCTGCCACCACCATGTTTCACTGTTGGGATTGTATTGGGCAGGTGATGAGCAGTGCCTGGTTTTCTCCACACATACCGCTTAGAATTAATGCCAAAAAGTTCAATCTTGGTCTCATCAGACTAGAGAATCTTATTTCTCATAGTCTGGGAGTCCTTCATGTGTTTTTTGGCGAACTCTATGCAGGCTTTCATAGGTCTTGCACTGAGGAGAGGCTTCCGTCGGGCCACTCTGCCATAAAGCCCCGACTGGTGGAGGGCTGCAGTGATGGTTGACTTTGTGGAACTTTCTCCCATCTCCCTACTGCATCTCTGGAGCTCAGCCACAGTGATCCTTGGGTTCTTCTTTACCTCTCTCACCAAGGCTCTTCTTCCACGATTGCTCAATTTGGCTGGACGGCCAAACTGGAAGAGTTCTGGTCGTCTCAAACTTCTTCCATTTAAGGATTATGGAGGCCACTGTGCTCTTAGGAACCTTGAGTGCTGCAGAAATTCTTTTGTAACCTTGGCCAGATCTGTGCCTTGCCACAATTCTGTCTCTGAGCTCCTTGGGCAGTTCCTTCGACCTCATGATTCTCATTTGCTCTCGCATGCACTGTGAGCTGTAAGGTCTTATATAGACAGGTGTGTGTGCCTTTCCTAATCAAGTCCAATCAGTTTAATTAAACACAGCTGGACTCCAATGAAGGAGTAGAACCATCTCGAGGAGGATCAGAAGAAATGGACAGCATGTGAGTTAAATATGAGTGTCGCAGCAAAGGGCCTGAATACTTATGATATTTCAGTTTTTCTTTTTTAATAAATTTGCAAAAATTTCTACATTTCTGTTTTTTTCTGTCAAGATGGGGTGCTGAGTGTACATTAATGAGAAATAAAATTAACTTTTTTGATTTTAGCAAATGGCTGCAATGAAACAAAGAGTGAAAAATTTAAAGGGGTCTGAATACTTTCCGTACCCACTGTATATATTATACTGAATTCCCTGTGAGGGTGACAAAAATAAGATGTTATGACGTGTTTATCAAAGTGTTGTTTACTGCTTTTTTTCGTGTTGGAATAGATGTTAAATATTTAACTGCAAAGTAGTAATGCGTGTTTGATACTTAATTTTTTTTTTTGCATTAAATCATACTGGGATGTTTGCTGAAATTGATAGGATGGCCCTACCTAGAAATTGTTCTACCAGCCGCCACTGTACATTTCTCTTCATCATAATTCTAGGTACCATTACATACTTTTCGGCATGGCTCGAAAATGGAATGGTGAACGGTTCAATTTCTAGTGAGAATTCAGTGTGTGAATGCACTTTTGTAAATTCAGTGAAGAGAGAAAGACACAGACAGACAGATGGATGCATATGAGAGAGAGGTAAACAGTGCATGCATTACACAAACTGTATCTCAAACAGGCGGCAACCTCCTCTTGTGAAAAGTGAGGCTAATGTTGAAGTGCCTTAAACTTGCATTCTCTCTACTGGCCATCAGGGGGCTACTCCTCTGGTTGCAAAAAGAAGTCAGATTGTGTAGAAGTCTATGAAAAAATGACCCTAGTTCTCACTTGATTTATTACCTCAGTAAAGATTGTAAACATGAGTTTATGGTCTCAATTGCTGGTTTCAAGTCTTCTTCAATACAGCAGGATGTTATGTAGTAAATGATGGTCCATTTAGAGTAAAATAGCCCATAAAGCAGGGGCAACTACTTTGTCATTGACAGGTCACTCCCAGAGTCGTATACGCTGTCTCTACCATGGCATCACTCCTCCACAGTCCAAATATGGTCATTTCCGTTGCAAAAAACAAGATGGTGAAGGCCAAAACGCCAAACTCAATCACACATCAATGGGCGACGTCCCAACGACTATCCACTTCTTACTGACAGTCTGTGATCTGAAAATGATTGGTGTGTAAAAGAAAACCAGTGTGCATAAAAAAGCATAAAAATATCACTTGTTAATGAAAATAAAACAGACTTCGGGCTAAGCCCTGAATGTCGCAAGTTTCCACAATAATATATATGTAGTGGCCATTTGTCCGATAAATCCCCCCCAAAAAAACATTAATCAAAGGGCCACTGATGCACCATGAGTTTGTGGTTTATGCAGGCAAACAAGTTTATTGTCCATACAGGCTTCCGTTTTTGTCATTATTTATTTCGCAAACCAAAACAAACAAGCAAACAAACAAAAGAAAAAAGAAACTCCTCGCTGCCTCTACTGCTCTGGTAAAAAACCATAGCCAACCCCGGTGCATGCTGGTCCTATACCTGCCTACTCATATAAATAACTACAGGTGCCCACAGTGTTACCCAATTCATAAGCAAACCAACTAACCTAAAAACTAAGTATACTTAAACAACAACAAAAAATAATTCAACTAAACGAATGAGAATCTTAATATATCAAACAAACACTCTAACCTAAATAAGCAAACATCTAGAATAATTAAACTATACTACTTATGAATAAAATAACTAAATACTAGCTAATACTAACTAATAAATAGCTCCTACAATATATTTACAAACATATGAATTCATCCGAGCGAGAAAAACTACAAGTAGCCTACAGATCTAACAGGATATAACTATTTCTGTGACTTCCTGTTTATTTTTTGAGGGCTGCTGAAAGCTGTCCGACTTGACCGCAGTTTTTTGTCAACGCTGACAAAAAACGCCGAGTTTTGGCTGCCGCCAATACTCGTCCACCTTTCAAGCGAGGCGCAGCTCATCTCGAACGAGCCTAATGTCAGCAGGACAAGTTGATTACCAATTATCGCTGTGTAAAGGCTATCTGTGATTCATTTCGGGGTGTACTTATTTTATGTCACTCAGCAGACTTGTTATAGTTACAGATCTGCACACTAGCAAAGTGTCAGGGACGGGGCGGATACTGTTGTGACGCGGCAGTTTCCCAGCATACAGTGGGGCATCATGGCGGACACAAGGGAGAAGGCACTGCAAGACTACAGGAAAAAATTACTTGAACACAAAGAAATTGACGGGAGGTTAAAAGAATGTAAGAGACTATTTTATTTTGACGTTTGTGGTGTTGCAGAAATGCATCTTGTATGTTTGATAAGATATATATGATTGGGTAGCCATCATCAGCTAGCTGGCCAGCCAGCTAGCTAGTGCTTTGTCATGCAGTTAGCATCCTCATAGAAATGAATGTAGTGCTAAGCCGGTTAACGCTAGTAGTGCTATCTTAGCGAAGAAGTAACGTTAACGTTAACTGTAAGTAGACTAACAATTGTAAGAAAAATACTATGCCGAGCAGTAACTAACGTTAGGTTAATAACTTCTAAAATTAAGTGAACCATAGCCGTTGTAGCCATTATTTCGATACACATAATGTATGTATGTCCTATCTGTTAACGTAATTACGACATTTACGTGAAGCTAACTTTGACCAGCTAACGTTAACTTCCATTAACAGGCATATTTGTTTGACAGTGTGACCACAGCTTCCACCCTTAGCTGTAACTAACAGTTTCATTCTTGACTGAATTTTGGTGTTTGATAACAAAAAACTAGAATCAACATATTCTGACCTCCTTTGTTATCTAGTGAGAGAACAACTGAGAGAACAAACTAAACAGTACGAGAAATCAGAAAATGACCTGAAGGCTCTGCAAAGTGTTGGTCAGGTAAGAATATTTATTGTTTGTAACATTTTGTTAACATTTTAGCCTCTGGGATCTCAATGAAGGGATTAATTCAAGTTGTTTCAACAATAGACTGACATTTTATTTTGTATATCAACACAATGACAGGCAGTCACTGGCATAAATTTAATTTCGGAGACATGACCATTTTGAAAATAATTGTTAAATTCATCATTAGTAAAAAATAATTACTATAGTCAGAATCTGAAGTGATTGATTCTGTGTTTTAGTGAAGTTCCTCACACAATACTGGTGCTTTCATTGACATTGAAAAGGATTATTATATTCTGCTGCCAGATAAGCAGCTTCACGATTATAAATGAGTTGACCAAGCCCCCTTCAATTCTATCTGGCCTATCAGGATTAACCGTGCTGTTAAAGACCAATCAAATCCTTCTTTATCGTCTAGAGGAGACACTAAGCTGGCTTTATAACTTTTCTTACAATAGTGAGAAAAGATTTCTGTAAAACAGGATATTATTGAAAACATATGTGGTATGCAATGCATATTTTTATCTGAATGTTTATCGCACGTCTTTCATCCAGCCTTACATACACTTGTGGGTCTATGAGATCTACGAGATGTAGGTCAGAGTGTCTCAGTAAAGAGAAAGGAGAGGGTTCAGTGTGTGAAGACAGTGGAAAGGACCTAATTAGAAAAACAGGAGGGAGTGAATCAAATCTGCCTCTACTAACTACATCTGTGCCTCATTCCCTGCAGATTGTTGGAGAAGTGCTCAAACAGCTGACTGAGGAGAAATGTAAGTTTATTGGAACATTTACAATTGTCACAGTACAGCAGGTAGTACCAGCAAAATAATTTAAAGAAAATATTGCTCTGCATTCATCTGCAACACGTATCGGTGCAACGTATCTTAAAACTCCTGGTTAAGATCTTATCACGGATCGGATTAGCACCAAAGAAAAAAAAAAACGGGGCAAACATAACCTTTTTAGATCCCTGATCATGTTTTTTTCCCGCCGATGATCCATATTGGCAGATACAGATCCCTTTGGTGTTTGATTATAACAGCTGGTCTACAAGGCTCCAGACAATTTTAATACTAAATATTATCCTTTTACTTTGTTAAAGTAATTTTTGATGGGTTTTTTTTCTTCGTAAAAACACACAATTCAAATAATAAGGAAATTAAAGGTAAATAAAAGATAAAAGATTTTTTGATTAATATAAATCATGTCAATAGTGGTTTTAATGATGTATAATAATCTGCTTAGAACTAATGTAAACGGCTCATAATTCCCTCTCTTGTATCTATTAATGTTGTTATGAAAACATCTTTAAAAAAACTGCATTTATTCAAGTTTCTCACTAACACTACATTTTATAAGAGTACATGTGAACACACGATAACGTTATAATTTACATTCACCCAATACTCATTTTCACTGTAGCCGTTGGTGGTGCTGCCACCTACCTGTTCATTTTAAACACGGATTGGTTGTTTACAAAGAGATCGGCAACTTGAAAATCACAATTATGCGAACAATTCTCAGTAAAACGTTTTTCACACTGTTATGGTTAAAGTTAAACGGAGTAATTCATCCGCGATTTACATGCTTGCCAAACCGTGAGGGGGGATCCTGTACGGATCACGGCTCAAGAATGGTCCGTGACACCGCTAGCAACACGCCACTCTCCTGTTTCCACTCTGTCCACACTTTTTCCTCCATTTTGGCTTCTCTCCTTCAACTGCTCTGTGGCAGGCTCATATTACGCAAGACCCACCCTCTTGAAGCTTGGCAGCCAATGGAAAATGACTAATGACAGCCTCTAACTGTGACACGTCAGACTGATTAGCTCAGACCTGTAATGCCAATGTATTTTTTTTTTATTCCAGTCATTGTCAAGGCCACCAACGGCCCCAGATATGTGGTTGGATGCCGCAGACAGGTAGGTGGCGAACACATGCCAATGTGTATTAGCTTCTCTTATTTGTGTGTTGCCAGATTTTATGGTTACATATTTGGTTGTCATTTTCAGAAGACTGATAGACATTTATGCAAACAAAATTAATACAAACTTACCTGCAAATATTTGTCTGGACCCAAAGGTTCAGTAAAGCATCATGCTCAATTGCTAGTTACAAGTCTTCAGTAAAGCATGATGTTCATTTAGTAAATGATGGTCCCTTTTAGAGTCAAATAGACCATAAAGCGGAGTATGCTTTGGGGCGGGGCTACCTTGTGATTGACAGGTCTCTACCAGCACTATAAACGGCGTCTCCACGACAATCTGCATTCTAAATATGGTCACTTTCTGTTACTTGTTGCAAAAATCCAAGATGGCGACAGCCAAAATGCCAGACTTGAGGCTTCAAAAGACAGCATCTCTGTTTCTGCATCATAGATTTGATACTTTGTTTTTAACTGTCTATCATAATTCTGACCATGGTTGACTTAAGGTGGAACCTGGAATATAAGGTTTTATATTTGGATTTTATGTAATGGACCTACACAAAATGAATAAAAATTGGTTTCCGATTCTTGGATGCATCGGGATTCTCTCATGAACAATTATGACTCGATGTAGAAAACTCAATAATAGGAAATTTCAAACTCGATTCACGTTATGATCGGCTGTAACAATTCTGTGATACCGGGCTGTCCATTCCTTACAGCTGCCCCTGAATGAGCCACCGATTATGAATCATGTCTCGAAAAAGTTTGATGCATCAAGAAGAATCGCCAATTGTTTTATAATCGCATCGTAGCCCTTTGAAATCAAATCGTGAGGTGCCTAGAGATTCCCATCCCTACCAACTATCTTCAAAAGTCATATAATTAGTTAATGAAGTCCACCTGTGTACAATTTAGTGTGGGGGGGGGCACCATTCTCTAAATCTATGTTTCTAACATTTTTTCAGCACTTAGGGCTATGCTATTGTTAGGCGATGGAGTCTTAATTCGGTAAGATCAACAGATCATTGATTAATGCCCTGACAGCTTTCAGTTGATAAGGCTTCTGCAGCCTACAAACTAGTTTTTCTGTCAACGACCCGTTTGTTGTTTACTTAACTCGAAATGTTGCCACTTCGTGGAAGCAGGATGTTTATATTTATTTTGATATATTTTTTCCGCTTCACTTCACCAATTTTGACTGTTTAGTAAAAGTCCATGGCATAAATCCAATAAGAATCAATTTAATTTCCAGGTTGAAATTCAGTGGAAAACTCTTTCATGTACTGAGAGACATTGACTTGAAAATGAGCAGGACTGTAATGCAATCGAAGTACCTTTACTATTGTGTCTGTTTTTGGCCCATTCAGAAATTGACATATCTGCCACATATACATTTACAGACACATTGTTTTGGCCATCAGTTTTTTGTAGCATTTATTTATTTTTACAAATCAAAATTGTTGATTGATGGTGTTTTTTCTGGATAGAACAAAAATAACCAAATTTGCACTCATTTTCAACCTCAGTCTTAAGAAGGTGAACACTAATCTATGGTGGCTTTCATTGCAGTTGGACAAGTCCCAGCTGAAGCCAGGCACCAGAGTGGCTTTGGACATGACCACACTCACTATAATGAGGTAGGCTGGATTTACTTACTTACTTTAACATTCAGGCTACATTGAAGACAGAATGGATGCGATCCATTAGCGGAGCGGATATGCCGCAGTGTATTTTTTACTTTACTGTCTACACCTCTAACCACACTGGGCTCATAGTTGTGTTAGTCATTCAGTCTGCTATTTCAATCTCTCTTGTCAGCTATTATCAAAGGACACAGGTGCAGTGTTTCCCACAGGATTTAGTTAGACTATAATGGGTGGGTGGACCAGCCACACTCTATGTAATTCATAGGAAACAATAAAAAAATATTACGTTCCTTGTAGTCAGTAAGTCATTTATTTTATATGGATATTGAAAAAGACCTTTTATGACCTTTTTCTGTATAAAAGGCCGCCGCTTAAAAGCTAGAAATGTGATGACTGGCCTGTTGTGACTTTTGTAGAGCGGCTTTCCACGTACGCATCCCTGCTCACGCCTGCTGTAGCAGGTGGCATTGATTTATAGTGGAAGTGTTATGGCATTCAAGCAGTGCCCTTTACACAGGACTAATGAACAATCAACACCAAATAATTGTTCATCACAGCAGATGTGCCAGCAGAATCCATTATACCAGTGGTGGACTGTCAGGGCCAGCAAGGCCTTCTCTGCTGGCCTCTAGAATCACAAAGTTATAGCTATTCTATAATTTTATAATTTTTCATAAATACACTACATGTATTATAATTTTTTCCCCATTATCTTATTTTCTCATTGCACAGCTACTGTCTTCCTCAGTTGCTCTGCTTCCAGTGCAGCTTGTTTTAAGTAGAGCTTTTATCCAATCAGATTTCACCTCTGTGTCTCTAGGTAAGAAGAGTGTTGAGCTTCATTTTTACATGAAACAAATGATAACCGTAGCTGTGGCGTCATAATGAGGTGTTTCAGCTGCAGGACAGCAGTGAAGGCCCAGGTATAAAATGCACGGCCCGCCACTGCATTATAGTCAATATGGGGTTGAAGCATCTGCTCAGTTTCCTGTCATAATTATCCTTCATGGAAGTCAGGGTTTGCTCCAGGAAATAATTAAGCTGAGGTGGTAAGCCACCCAGATCCTGACTCCTTCCTGATCAGTTCCAACACACACGCTGTGTAAAATACTGCTACTGCTCCTTTCCCTGGAGGACAATGTTTTAATTATTTATTTATTTACACGCTACAGAAAAGGGAAAGTATTGAAGTAATACTTTCTTATCTTTGTGTAGGTTACTTATTGAGCATCTGCAAGTGTTTGTGTGCCTTGCAGAAAGAATTGCAGCTTATGAACCTTTTTTTTTTGTGTAAATATTTGTATGTTTTTCTCGCCACACCAAAAGAATATCAAGCAGTGACTTCCAAGAATGCAAGATATAATAAACCATGCATTTTTTGCACTGTTACACTCGTAAAGCTGTAAACGTTCCACAAAATATGGAAGTAAAAGTGGCATGATGAAGAGTAAACCATATACATACACAGCTTGTGATGGGTGTGTGCTAGAGCGGCCACGGTATAGGAATTTCTCTGCAGTGATAAAGATTAGCTCAACGGCGAGATATGTGGTATTATTGCCTTTTTATTTGCAAATAATTTTATTCATCCTGATTTCAGTGCTGTATAAATAAGCTTTATTGTTGGTCAATTATTAGCTATATCGTTGTTTTTAAATGAAAAAATGTGGCAGTTTTCAAACTTGCGATAACTTATTGTTGAATGCAGAACACAGAAGGGCAATCAGGCCCAGTGGTTTTATCAGCCAAGATGCTTTGGTTGCGTCTAGTTGCTATGATACGGAATATCGGCAGAAGTAAAAACATTGGCACATGGTAGAGTACCTGCTCTGGATGAAGGGAAGGCTGACGAGTTTTTAAATTCTCAGTGTCCAGAAAAACCCCACACGCTCAGCGCCTCTTCACACTGTTGCGGTTGTAGCATAGTGTTAATACGCAGCGCTTCCATTACAAAGAATTAAAAAAAAAAAAGAATGTGAACATAGCCGTTGTTGACACATGTCAATAGTGCTTTTATTCTGACAGCCCTGCCGTCTGCTCATAATGTGTTTCCTGTTCTGTCCAAGGTACCTGCCCAGAGAGGTGGACCCTCTGGTCTACAACATGTCCCACGAGGACCCGGGCAGCGTCTCCTACTCTGAGATTGGAGGCTTGTCCGAACAGATCCGTGAGCTGAGAGAGGTACAACAAAGCCAGCAATTCAAATATTTTTATTATTATTTTTTGTTCTTTTTAAAAAATATATTATGTTACTCACATTGTGAAATGTGATGTGTGTGTTTAAGTTGAACAGAGGCTCCCATATGTGTTAGGAGTTAACAGTTGTGTGTTGATTGGAGGGATACTGTTGTAAAGGCATTAAGACAAGATGATATATTTAAATTTTAATTTCTGTCAATTGTATCCAAAACAATGCTGCTGTTATCTGGTGGCAGGTGATTGAGCTGCCTCTGACCAACCCTGAGCTCTTCCAGAGAGTGGGCATCATCCCCCCTAAAGGCTGCCTGCTCTACGGGCCTCCAGGTCAGTGGTCCAGCGAAATAACACCCGTCTTTAAGCTTGATATTCTCCGAAACACCAGAGGGTGTACAAACACAATGCACTGCGAAGAAGCAAGAAGACAACCAGTGTAACCGGCAAAAAGCCATAAACCAACCTCCACAATGCAGCAGAGGATTGTAATTAGGGCCCGAGCAACCGACGTAGGGCCAGCGAAGGCCCTATTGATATTGTACCCGTTTGAGTAACCGTACGCATGGTTGGAGGACTTGCCATGCATGAAAACTCACCAAATTTTGGGGACTTGTCAGGCCTGGTGAATATAGCCATCTGAAAAAGAATGCATCTTTCTGTGTTAAGAAATGGCTCTCTAGTGCCCCCTACAAGTCGGACCGGCGTACCAATAAACTTCTTAGGGGCGTGGCTTAATATCAATACATATAACTTCTCAACCGTTTGTCCTAAAATTACCAGATTTTCAGCATATGTGCACATTGCATCCTCTAACATACCCTGAGATTTATTTTGCATTCAACAACTAGGGGGCGCTACAGTAAACCCTCGAAATTGTGCTTTTTGTCACTTTTTGCAGATTTCAGCCTTCGCACTTTAACGAACTCCTCCTAGAGATTTTAAGCGATCGACTTCTACTTTGGTCAGGATGCTCTTAAGACCTTTGTGATTAAAAGTTATCCAAATCGAGAGTTTTCATCAAAGAACCTTGACGTGGCGTGGTGGCCATTTTGCGTCATTGTTTATGAAAAAATAAGTTCTTATAAGTTGTTATAACTCCAAGGTACATTATCCAATCCGCACAACTTCTTTTACATGATGCTACTTCAAGCCTAAACATACTTCAATTGAAAAAAAGTCAATAATTCATAGCACCACCTACTGGCTAAAGGAAATGTCATATTTTATACTTTTAATTATTCCTCCTAGCCAGGTGACCTGATGAGTCTAAAATTTGGTAAGGATAGCCTTAAGACATTGATGATGCATCATCATGAATTTTTTGAGTTTTCGTTGAACGCTGTTGCCGTGGCGACGCATAGTTTGCCATGAAAAAGGAAGCTGATGGTTTAGTGGGTTGGGATGCTCAAAAACTCATGGAACTTTGTACATGTGTCACAGGTCATTGGAAGAAATAGTTTATATGATTTTCTTTATTGGCCGTTTTAAATTGCCTCTATAGCGCCCCCTACAATATTTCGAAAGAGCAGCCCCAGCGCTACGTTTTGGCTACATGTATGAAACTTGGTAGGCACATGAATCCTATGGAGACTTAAAAATAAGTCTCTTGGGACCATGCTCTAAACCCTACCGGAAGTCTGCCATTATCAATTTTGTATGAATTTATACAATATTTCGACGATGCAGCCCTCGCAGTACGTTTCACTATCTATATATAAAATTTAGATGTATAACATTTGGTAAACAGATGTATCACATGTAGACTGACAAAAAAGCCCCCGGAGCTCTAAACCCAACCGGAAGTCAGCCATTTTGAATTTAGTGAAAAAAAACACATTTTTGCAAACTCCTACACCCTGGCTCAGATTTCTACGAAATTTGCTGTGGATCATAAGTGGATCTAGATCATCAAAAGTTTTTGATATCTCTTTGCGTTTACAAGATATGGACCAATACACTTGTTAGGTGCGTGGCAAAATATCAATACACATAACTTCTCAACCGTTTTTCCTAAAATTACCAAATTTGCAGCATATGTGCCGTGGCGACGCATCGTTCGCCATGAAAAAGGAAGCTGATGGTTTAGTGACTTGGGATGCTCTAAAACTCATGGGACTTTGTACATGTGTCATAGGTCATAGGAAGACATGGTGTACATGGGTTTTTGGCTTGTCCGTTTAAAATTGCCTCTATAGCGCCCCCTACAAGATTTCAAAAGAGCAGCCTCAGCGCTACGTTTGAGCTACATGTATGAAACTTGATAGGCACATGTATCCTATGGAGACTTAAATATAAGTCTCTTGGGACCATGCTCTAAACCCTACCGGAAGTCGTCCAGTTTCATTTATGTGTCATTTTTCAATAGATTTTGGCCTATTTCTAGTCGCTATACTTTAACGAACTCCTCCTAGGGACTTCATCAGATCCACTTTAAATTGTGTCAGTACCATGTCAAGACCGTTGTGATTAAAAGTTATCAAAAGCTTTACGTTTGACGGAATCGGTTAGCCGTAGCGGGCGGCTACTTTACGTGATTCCCCATGAAAAAGCTGATGTAACTCAGCTGGACTTGTTCCAAACAGTCTCAAACTTCACATGCTTGATAACACTCATGGCCTGAGGATGTCTACAAGCTAATTTTCCCTAATACTCACAGCGCCACCTGCTGGTGAAAGGAAATCTGGATTTTGTGACAAACGCCTCCGATTTACATGACTTTTACACAACGTGGTTTACATTTGACACAGAGCTACATGATGCATGTTTGCACGCGTTCTGTAGCACCAGGCAGCGGATACAGGAAGCATCAGACTATTTGCAAAGCATCATTTTTACTCAAATATAGATTTTTTTTTTTTTTTTTTTTTTTTTTTAAGTCCTCCTGTTTCTAAAGCTGCTAAAAACAAAATTGGCCTACTTTGTAAAATCTGACATGTTTTATAGTGTTTTTATCAGTGAATATTTCTGTCATGTCTGCAAAGTTCCAATCGTGTGCGCCTAGATACTAAAGTTCAGAGGTGCACGACCAAGCGCAGCAACCACTGGCAGAGCTTTTGCTGTGATTGCATTATTTACTTCACCACGGCGACCATAAACTATACTTTAGAAGGCTAACAATCAGTGACTATTTGTTTCTGAGACACTAAATAAGCCCTTTGTAAACCTATTTGCATATGTATATGAATTTTATGACACAAATATCTTTTAAGTGTTGTGTAGTTTTAGATCATGCGTTTGGATCTGTATCTGGTGTTTGACAGATTCCGTCTGTAACAGGTACTGGGAAGACTCTTCTTGCCAGAGCGGTGGCCAGTCAGCTGGACTGTAACTTCCTCAAGGTGAGTGTCAGCGCTGTGTCAGGTCGGACTGCTACACTGTAGTCAGTCAGCTGATGCTGCGTGTCTGCACGCTACAGGTGGTGTCCAGCTCCATCGTGGACAAGTACATCGGTGAGAGCGCCAGGCTGATTAGAGAGATGTTCAACTATGCCAGAGACCACCAGCCCTGCATCATCTTTATGGATGAGATTGATGCCATTGGTGAGTAACACTGAGGATCCGGTTTAGTTTTTGTCTTTCCTAGGGCTTTAGCATTTTTCGGTTAGGGTTTGTTCTTTTAAGGGTATATGTATTTTCTCATCTACTCTGCATGAAGTTACAATCAAAGCTCTACAAATCTGCTTTTATTGTGAAGCAGCTGAATCTTGTAGGCAGCCTTTGTCGCTGATGTTAGCTCATGCTGACGCCTCGTCAAAATTGATACGAAGATGGAAAAATGGATATAAAGATACGAAACCTTTCAGTGTGTTTTTCTTCATTGAATTTGAATTCCCTCGAAGCCCAGGATCCAATCAGACCCATTACTAGAATATACAATATAACAACACAAATAAAATGGAACAAATGGAACAATATAAACACTGAATACACACTAGAAATAGGATATTGCAGTCCTATTTGCACTGAATATACATAGTGGTTCAGATTCTTCTCTTGGGGTTTAAATACTTAAGTTAGGACCTGCCAGCCTGTGTGTTGGGAATCATCACCCAATGCTCGTCATGTTTGTGTGTTCCCTGTAGGCGGCCGTCGTTTCTCTGAGGGAACTTCTGCTGACAGAGAGATCCAGAGGACTTTGATGGAGGTAACTGAGTCACTGAAGTGATGTCTTTTCTAGAACGCCGTCCTTTAGAAAGTAACTCTCAGGAATCTCTAGAGGGATCTTTCTCTGCTGCCTTTTTTATAGAGATCTTTCAGCTTCATTAAGGTGGCTTCTAATGCCTTGGAGTCAACAGCTTTAACCTCAGTCATTATCTACAACAAAAGCCAAATCTACTGGAGTGTCATCCAAAGGAACAGCAGGCAGCAGTGAAATGGGCCATTGGGTTTCTCCCGGCTCTGCTAACTCAGAGGTCTGTGTGGGGAGGAAAACTGCTCTGCTCATGCCGTGGAGGACGGCAGGCTACGTTCCACTGTGAGACACCTCATAATCATCAGCTAGCTCGGCTGCACTTTGTTACTTATTTCACATTAATTTCCAAAGATCTCCTACTGTACAGAAACCCTAAACTGCTCCAGTAAAATGAGCTCTTCATTTTTTCATTAAGTGCTTCTCCCTGTTTCCTCCACAAAGCCAGATAAGATTCACAAAACCTTCTTCAGTAGGTTTCTGAATGCAACCGTATGGTCCCAGCACTGCTTTCTCCAATTCATGACAGCCTAAACCTCTGCAGTTGTCTAGAACTGCTCTCTGATCTGTATTAAGCTGGGGCACTTTGAAAATAGGTCTGTTTTCTTTAGGCCACTTACTTTCCAAGGTTACAGAAACATTTAAACATGCAGAGTGTCTGAATGCTCTGCAGAAATACTGTACGGCAACCACCAAACGCACACTGCAACAGGCCTATTACAAACCATACATGCATACATGCATACATGCATGCATGCAGCAGCATGTATTTACAGTCCCACCACCTGTTAACTGATAAAGAGTCCAATCACTGACGACTCACTCAAACTAATCCCAAAACGCTATAGATCCTGCAGTCAATGCTAACACTATCATTACAGACAGTGGGCTCTAGTTAGCCTGATACAACTAGGCCACCTTTCCCAGTCTCTCACACAGTTAGTATGACCATTGAAAGATGAACAAAACCAAACGCCAAACTCCCTCTCCCGGATGATAGTACTGTTCAAATGAATGGTTTCAGGTCTAGAGGACTAAAAGGAACAGTGTGTACCATTTAAGGGGATTTATTGGCAGAAATGTAATCTAATATTCATAACTATGTTTTTCATTAGTGTAATCACTTATCTTCGAATGAGCCTTTCATATCTACATAGGGAGCAGGTCCTCTTCACAGAGTCCACCATATTGCACCTCTATGTTGCTACAGTAGCCCAAAACGGACAAACTAAACTCTAGAGAAACTTTTTCCTGTTTTTACGTTACCTAGAGGCCTCCGTAGTTGGAGACGGAGGAGTGAGCGGAGGAGTGTTCAGTTGGATGCCTCCTCACTAGATGTCACTAAATCCTACACACTGCTCCTTCATAGTGGCAACATTCAACAGTTCAACATTTCCCCACCGAACGTTTCCAAGTCGTATTACAATTGGTGCCGCTGTCGCAAAGACAACCGCATTGCTTTTCTTTTGTCCAGAGCCTAACATCTACCAACAACACAGTTAGCAACATAGCTACCGCTAGCAGCTTGGCTACTGTCTAAACCATAATAACAATTTGAACTAGAAACCCTCCATCTTAGTGCTGGATAAAGAGAGTAAAACACCTGGCAACAAAGAGTGTGCCGTCTTGGTTCAGAGTAGGTGTCAATATTTTCTTACCATAAGTACAGACTGCACTGGTCTTTGTGCCCTGAATGGAGCCTTGCTACCTGATGGATGACAGAATTACACAGTGAGAGACGGGTTCAGAGGAAACAAGTCTAAATGCAGATGGTGTCCTTTTGCTGTTGCCATTACAATGTGCAATCAACAATTGCGTCATAATGCGATAAAGCGAAAACAAAATCTTGTGACCAGATGAGCTACTAACAGGCCACACGAGAGCTGCACTATGCTTTTCACCCTTAATGAAGTCCAGTTTAAAGATCTGTAAACAATATGGTGCTCTAGTCAAGAAATGGTGCCGCTGAAAGTGTAGAAATGAAACCGAGGCTCTAAGTAGTGGAAACACTGGTGAGAATTTTCTTGTAGGATCAAGGAGCAAAGAAGTCGTACCCTGACGTACTGGTGCAACGGAACATAAAACTCACAATTCGGATCGAATCACGGATCGGATCAGCACAAAAGAAAAAAACGGGGAAAATATAACTTTTACAGATCCCTAAACACGTTTTTTCTTTTGCCGCTGATACTAATTTCCGATTATTGATGATCCATATTGATTAGTTGACCAAGCCCCCTTAAATGATGATATCAGCTGGTCTACAAGACTACAGACTATTTTGTTTTTTGCCACCGTCCCAAAAATCATTTCAACCGCTCTGAAGTCAGTGTAAACCACTAAAAACTAAGTCTCCTTTGACTTTGTTATAGTAATTATTGATTTTTTCGTCATAAAAACACCCAATTTAAATGCCAAGTCATAATTCCCTTTCTAATATCTATTTATGTTGTGAAAACATCTCCTTCAAACAACTGGATTTATTCAAGTGTCTCACTAACACTACATTTTACAGATAACATGTGAACACATCATAACGTTATCATTTTATCACTATCATTTTAACGCATCGTAACTGAAGTGAACCTCCGTTCTCCTCGTGTAAATTTAAACATGGATTAGTTGTTGATAGTGTAACATTATCGAAGATAAGCGACTAGAAAACTATAAATGCTGATGTCCTGATGGCATATTTTACTGAATATTGACGGATAACGATCGTCGGTGAAACTTAATTTCACACTGTGATGATTAACGTTAAACTCTAATTATTCCACGGTTCACATGCATGCCGAACCGTGAGGGGGATCAGTACGGATGGACAGTGGTCTGTTACACCACTAGCAGGATGTGTACTGCATGACTGCATGTGGATACTGAGACAGTATATGGTGCAGCCTTAAGCCATACATGTGAGAAATGCCTTTGGTTGCTAATCAACAGGAAAAGGAAGCAGGCCTAAAAAAATCCTATCCATTAGTTCTGTTTTTACTGAAGTATGGGTAATAGTTCTGCCTGAACTTGAATCCTGAATGCGTTTGATATGATGGCGTCATATAGAGCAGCAAACCACATTGTTAACCACAGTTAACAATAAGCACATTCACAATGACACAGGTGATGCAGTACAGCACAGTCCGTCTACAGTGGGACAGCTCTGGTCATCTGAGTGAATGAACTTCACTTTACTAGCATTGTATTCAAGACATTAACTTGTTTTAGTTGTCATAAGTGCAACCATTAAAGTCAGCACAGTGAATAGAGGATAAAAGACTGGGGTGTGTCTGTCCTGTCAGCTGCTGAACCAGATGGACGGCTTTGACACGCTGCACAGAGTCAAGATGATCATGGCCACCAACAGACCTGATACTCTGGACCCGGCCCTGCTGCGTCCCGGCAGACTGGATCGTAAAATTCGTAAGATCTCTGTTCCTGTTGCTCCTTGGTGTGTCGGTTATCTGACGGCACACGCAGCCAAGCTAACGTCCTTTTCTCCTCTTCAGACATTGAACTGCCAAATGAACAGGCTCGTCTGGACATCCTCAAAATCCACTCCAGTCCCATCACCAAGCACGGAGAAATGGGTGAGTGAGCAGAATGGCTACCCGAAGGAGTCCTCGTACCGGGCACATCTGGCTTCCTTTGTCAGTTGTTCTCTCCTACTTCAACATTAGGTCACATTTGTTGGATCTGTGTCAGAGTTTTGCAGTTGTAATGCTGGTTGCTTGTAATTTCCTCATCTCGGACTCTACAGTGTTGTTGCACTTGACTCCCAAGCGGAGCATAGTGACACTTTGAGCTTGTGAATAACTGTGACGCAACACCGGTCTACTTGATGGCAGTAATGGTCCTCTAAGCTGTTTTGGCAGCCACCAATCAACACTAAATAAGCAGAAAAATCTGAGTTTCATCGGCTTCAAATCCTAAATGTTGATATATTGATGTAGTTTTAGTTTTCTTTGAGACGAACTCTGCCATGTCTCGTCTCTTCACTCCAAAAAACATGTGAACTTTCTGGTAACCTCCACTGACATGTGATCTCCTTCATGTTATCGGCTCACGACCATTTAAAAACAAACATAACCATGTTAATCACATTGGCATATTGATTATTATTAATGCAAAGCGAGATGGATGTGGCGCCGTCTACCAAGTGACAGAAGGACATCGGACTCATTTTCAATCCCCTTTCTCAAATGAATGAAATGCAGTTATTGCTTTAATTTCATTAATTTCTCTCAACACTCTTCTTCCCCAAATCTGATGTTACATGGGTTGTAGTTTCAGATCTCACTTAAGGTATACAAACCTACTGCTGGTCAGTCTTTGAAATACTTTGGGTTAGGGTTGATATTGTCTTTGACATCTCATAAACATTTAATAGAACAATACGTTGTTTTCTCTTCTGTTTGAGCACACATGGGTGACGTGATCTGGCTGACCCCATACACTTTGTGAGACTTTTTCTGTCTTGAGAGGGGCGGGGCTTCCACTTTGTCGTGATAAGACATTATGAGCAGTGAGAACAATATTCCTGAACAGAGAGATGATACATTTCTTGTGATGGTCTTTGGTTCGTTTCAGATTATGAAGCCATCGTGAAGCTATCAGACGGTTTCAACGGAGCTGATCTGAGAAACGTGTGCACAGAAGCAGGTTGGACATCAGTTTCCTCATTAGTTTAATTTCCTCAATCCATGTTATTCACGTGTTTATTTGTTGCAGGTTTGTTTGCCATCCGCGCTGACCGAGAGTACGTCACACAGGAGGACTTCATGAAAGCGGTGCGGAAGGTGGCGGATTCAAAGAAGCTCGAGTCCAAGCTGGACTACAAGCCTATATAAATCTGTCATAGCCCTGTTCCCATATTTTTCATTGCATTTTCATGGATTTGCTGTGTTCCTCGTTCTCGCAAGTTGCCAACAAGTAACTTTTACTCAGTAACCCGTTTCCACTGGTTAGCGTGACCTGCATCATAGAGGCTGATCATTCTGCCATCCCACAGAACACCTGATAAAATAACTTGTACTGAAAATACACCGTTATATGGAAAGTTGTTTATCACCATTCTTTCCTCTCAACCTTAAAGTAAGTGTGATTGACATTCAGCATCTCACTGACTGCATGATCCAAAACTCATTAAAGGGACAGTTCAGCCCAATATCAAACACATTTGTCCTCTTACCTGTAGTGCTTCTTTTCACTGTAGTTAGTTGTGGTGTGAGTTGCCGAGTGTTGAGATCCCGGCCGTAGAGATGTGTGCATTCTCTCCAATGTAATGGGACCAGATGGTACTCGGCTTGTGGCGCTCCAAGCACCAAAAAACTACATTTAAAATAACTTCAGCAATGTCAGTCCAGAAATCATGGCTCAATATTATCCATAGACCTTGTTGTGAGCAGTATGTATGTGTATATATTATACATGCATACATTTTAATTGTATTGCAGTTAAACAATAGGCCTACAGAGAATGCAGAGGGTGGTGCAGATAATCTCCAAATAACCATGTTAGAATGTAGGAGCCCAACACTCCGTGAGTAGCAGACCACTACGGTCCCTTGTCATGGCCTTTAAGATTCTTCTTCAGGATGATGTTTGATTGGGACTGCAGATGTCTGTACAGGCTGCATGTGTTGACAGAACAAATTGACTTACCAGTACTGGAGCTAAAAATGTAAAGTCAGCCTGTGTAGTGGAGCTCTCTTAACTTTATGTAGACACAGTTGGTAACAGCCTCTGTTATATGCCGATAGTAGTGAAAAGCAGCGGTGTTTGATGGCTGACATTTACAGTCGCACTCACCCAAGGGATACGTGTCCTGTCCCCCCCATTGCTTTTACAGCTGCATCGTTACCTTGTATTGAATATAAAATAACACAAATATGTACACTGTACAAATATCAAATAAAGGTCAAATTACTGACAAAATCAATTCTATATTACAAGGGTTTTTGATTGGACAGTAATTT